TTCTACTTAAAACATACTTCTGACAAAGCAAAAATTCATACCTTCTTATCTCTTCAAAATTATTATTACAAGTGACATTTTTCATTGTCAGCCGAAGACATTGTCTTTTTGCAACTTCTCTTTTGCATATTAAAGAGAGCACTTCTGTTCCATTATTAGTCACAAAGTCAGTTTGCTGAATAATTTCCTTTGTTTGCAAGACTGCCACAACAATAGACAGAAAAGAACATCTTGCAAAAGAAAAAAGAGCTTAAAATAATTTTTAAACATCGTTGCAACTCAGTCCTTACTCAGATACTCAATCTGCAATTCCATGAATTAAATACAGAATACATTGCTGAGTTAGAAGTACCACTTTGCATTACTTTGAGAATAAATAAGGGTGAGAGATCTGAAAGTGATACGGCCATGTATTTTCTCCTTTAATGTCACTTCCATGCCATACAGTGAATATCATACATACCAGAATATATTTAAGAGAGGTTTTCTTCAGTAACAGCTTAACATCATAAGCACTCGTCTCAAGTTTGTCTTGTCTCTACAAACAGAACTCGAAAACAGCCTTAAATAAAATATAACTGCATCTAACAATGGTCAATTCCAAGTTGGACTTGCAGCTACAGTGCACTGTACAACCAAAAAAGACACATTTTTCTCAAGTCTGATCTCAAGTTCCCTGAATTCTTTTATGTCAATAGCAAATAACCAAAGGAACACCTTACACAACTCTCATGACTCTCTCAAAACCAAGTGTGTATTAGGAAAATAACCAGCAAAAAGGCAAACCATTAACTGAGTAGTTTCAGAAAAACCCTGTCACCTGCTGTCAAAAACTAAGCAGGACTCTTCTTCCCACAGCTAAGTCTTCAATTTGTATTGTCAGACATTGAATACGTGTGTCTACACAAAATAAACTTGCATTAAATCATAGAAGTAAACAAGAAGTTGATTTATAATAAAACCAGAAATCTGGGGGTTTTTTCCAATTTTCAGAATTCAACAATGTGTAAATACAAACCCACATAAACAATTCAACCACTTAACTATGTTAAACATAGGAGACACAACTTTTAGTGCCTCCCTAATAGCTGATCATACATCTTCAAAATTATTTTTGATAGCTGGAAAGCGACTTGTTCAGGATTTTGTAGCTATTAGATGTTACATAACGGCCACAAAATACTCGCATTTTAAGGACACATATTCCCTGTATTTATGCATTTAGGAGAAGCCTCTTTAAAAATACATACAAATTAGTTTTAAGGCTTTCTGGAAAAGCCTATCGGTCTCCTTACTCCTGATCAGCTCTTTGCAGGTTCTTTTCAAAAATGTATGAATCTGCTAAAAGGAAACCAAGTAACAAAACACAAGTACTGCAATCCTTGTGCAGACCAGAAGTGGACCCAACACAGTCTCTCTTGGGCAACTACAAAGCTGTAACAAAATTATGTGACACAGTAGCAGACCTGTGCCAGGCCACTGCTACACCTTTGGGTAGCAAATTTGATTTCTGTATCAATACCACACCGGGCTCATATTTACACTAGAATTCAGATAATCTCAGATATTCAATGAGCATTAGAACTGGTACTTGCAAACCTTTGAATCTTAAAAAGCTAAAAATAAATCTACAAACCAAGTTGGTTTTATTTCAGTGGAAGCACTGTTAACAAAAAAAAAAAAAAAAAGCTTTAATGATGCTTTTAAATGGAAATACAAATAAAAATGCAACTATTTGCAGTCTATGTTAGTGCAGCCTAGAATACCAAAAAATTTGAAAATAACAAATGTAAATAAAAAATCTTCCATAGATTTGACTAATCTGAGAAATAACAAAAAAAAATAAAAAAATTTAAAAAAAAAATAAAAAGAGAGAGAGAAAAGTGATGTTTCAGGTTATTTTAATAGCTGAATAGTTTTAGAGCAGGCATTTCCTTTTTAAGGCTTGGGTTTTAGTTTTACAGCTTTCATATCAAGGTAAGAAGTTTTTATTACGTTATTTGAGCTAAATGGTCTGGTCACACAAAGCTTTTTAGACCTTTCTGCCACTTGCCACATTACATCAGACAACACTCCAAAGTTCCTATTTTCCTTTCAAAAAACAAACAGTCAGGCAAGAAAAAGCCAATTTAAAAACGTGTTCCTTTGACAACTAGAAAAAAAACCCCTGATCACTAGCAACAGGTGTTCTTCAAGTCATATAATCCCCATATAAATTGTAATTACACTCCATCACTTGAAACCGGAAAGTTTTCCTGTGCATTATTCATAGAAGACACATGCTTGCTTGCTCGCTTGCTAACTTCTCCCTTTTCCCTATTCAGTACAGGAGAAATAAGATGGAACATCATTGTTTATCCTACTAGTTGCTTCTCAACGTGGAGAGACAAGCAAAGCACAAATTTACATGGATGTCTCTAAGAACTCCAGTTACTTAACGCTGGCTATTTACCACTAATGCTTCTTTCAGGGGTTCCACAAGGGCACTCTTCACCACAGTCACAGGGCAGTCACATCACTGGCAGAAAGCATCAGAGGCTTTCAGGCAGAGAACCATTTTGTCAAACACTGCACCAGCTCTCACAGCCTCACTGACTGTATTTGATGAAAATGAGGGACCGCATGAATGCCACGAGTGCTGGAATGCACTCCCCTGGTGCCACAGTCACACAGACACCAGTGAAAAAGAAGAGGGGCACCCTGAAAACTTACTCAGCACCAGACAGAACTACAGGACTACCCATGTGTCAATGTGAACACTGAATTTGTCCGTTCAACTTCTACAGTGCGCTCATGGACCGAAAAAAGGCTTGGCTTTCACAGTACAGCCAAGAGACAGTGAACTACATCCTACGTAAGCTTGACATGAGTACTCAGCGGCACTAAGGACAAAGCTGGAAGGTCTGATCTGACCAGCTCAAGACTGCTGGCAGCCAGGAGTTCTCAGTTAGGAAATGTCTTCCTATTTTGAGGAGGTCAGTAGAGATGTTGAGTCTCCACCCTCATCTCAGCAAGCAGGCAGGCCTGGACAGCCGGCAAATAAAGCAACCCTTAGGAGCCTGGCCATGATCAGACAATGAAAGCATCTTGGATTTGTATCAGATGATGTAAAGTCTTAGAGACTAAGTAAACAAAACTCTACTCAACTGGAAGATTTTTAGTACAATGGCAAGCACCTTCTGCTTTAGATGTACACATCAAGTAGGGAGTGAAGACAGACAAAAATGCACCCAATCCATGCACTACAAGGAACACGGCTGGGCATAGGGACACACAAGGTCAGAATACACATGGAAACTCATAAGAACTAAAAAGAAACCCAACATAATGTGGGTATAAATGGCACTAAGAGGATATTTCTCTTTTAATCACACTAGACTAATTTATAACCACTAATGTTAAAACACAGGTTCTATGCAACTGTTTTGTTTTGTTTTTTTAAAGAACTGTATTATATCAATGAAAAATGGAGTTTAGAATCTAATATTCAAATATAACTTAAAACCTTCGAAAAAGGCATATCTTTTCAATTTAACTTCCCAGCAATTAACATTAAAGCCATGCCTCCAAGAACACAGAAGAATTATTTTTCTTAAAATCACTACAGTATCCTAAAATAAATTGGGATTAAGAAGATCAATAGATTTTGAAACTTTATCAGTAGGCTTCCTGAAATTCCAATGAGTTTCACGATTCAGGAAGAAAAACAGGGCCTATTATAGAAAAAATATAGAGCACTGTGTGTACCGACATCCATCAACAGAAAAACAGAGACAGCAATAAAGATGATTTTTAAAAAACAAAACCAAAGCCTAGGAAAACATTAAAAGAAAGAAATTCACCTCCCCTCCAAAATACAAATGAAGTAACAAAAAAAAGCAAGATCTAAATGATTCACAGTCTAGAAAAGCAGAGAAATGTTTTTAATTACAGTACTGTCAAACCACATACAACATTCAGTAATTCTTTTAATAGATATTTGGAAAAGATGACTTCTGACCAAAAAGCTGTTTTGACCTAAACTTAATCTGAGGTTAGGCAATGTTAAATAAATGTTTCATAAAACCCTCAAAGTGCTACTAAAATCTCTGAGTGAATGCAATGGAATCTAAGAGGACAAACAAAATTTCTTCCCACGAAGTATGATGTGGTTTGACAATACTATTGAGCCGGTCTAACACTTAGTTGTTGTCAAAAGAATCTTGTAGACTTCCTCCTCTCCCACCGCACTTTCTTACTCCTTCCCTTTTGAAAGCGCCAAGACTCTTCTGATCTAACTGTGACTCAATTCAAACAAGTCATCTTTGAAGAAACAGGTTTTTTTTTGTTGAAGGGTAGTTTTCAGATCAGAAGAAAGAGATTCAACAGCAATGCTGCAGGAGGGAGTGTAGGGCTCCCAAAAGGGACAGAAAACAGAAGTGTATCTAGTCTTTGTATCAGCTGAGCTGTTCTGTCAAGCTCCAACTTCAATCACTGTAGCTCGGCTTTAAGCCTGTAACAGTTCCCTCTCGAGCACAGCTCTGTTCGTGCGCTGTCAATTACTGGTTTCACTACTGACACAGTTGTTCTCAAAGAAGGTTGAGTTATTAGGATCTCCCCTGAAATCACAGGCAGAGACTGCCAGTCCATTACATCAGTTGTTCAAAACATCTTCCTAACTTTCTATTACTACTAAAAATGAAGTCATCCTACAAATATGCAGACAAGGCAAAGACCAAAATTTTCGTGGTTACCCATCACAGTTGAACAACATTAACAGATTTCATGTAACTTGGTGAATATTGGAGGAGTACCTTTATCCTTCTTGCAAAAAATCAAATTTTATTTGTAATTTCACTTTTTTTTCTTTTTTTCATTGACATTGTCAGCATCAAAAGATTCTGCAACACAAAGATGCAACACTAAGATCCAGGAAAGGTGAGATCATAACAATAGACAGCAGATTTCTCACCAGTACCATTCACAAGCTAAGAAGTACCCTTTCACAAATCAATGCTTACCTTTTCTAATGCAGATCAGCTCATGTACACCACAAGTTCGTTCTCCACCTATGTGGAAATAAATAATTAGAAAACAGTAACAAATAAAATGTATTTGGTTTCTTAATAATATTTATAAACAATGTAAAAGAAAGTACTAAAATTATGTCATTTAATGAAAATGCAAAAGACTGGCTTAACAAATTTTTTCCATTTATACATTAAATCCTTTGGAGAGAACAATAAATGTACCTTTGGCTTAGTATTGCTAATGGTGGTACAGTTTGAAGAGCTTTACATTGAATTTATAGAGATAAAATTACAAAAGCAAGCACTTTGACTGAAGCCACACTAATGTTTCCCAAGTACAATTTCCTGTTTGGAGGGAACTACCCTACAGAAGGGTATCTAGAGAAGAATTGCCAAAATATCAAAAATACTTGTGATATAACACCAAAATAGCATTATCACTATCTTCCATGGTGGGAGGGGGGGAAAAAAAAAAAAAAAAAAGAGAGAGAGAGAGAAATCCTGTTACCAAAGGCTGGGTTTGCCTAGAATTTCTTCTTTAAAGATTTCTTATATTAAAAAAAAAAACCACAAAAATTAAGATACTTACATGAGAATAATAAAATTGTTGCTAGCAACACTCAGCTTTCATTTACATTTTAATGTTAGAATTACAGCCTGTAAACAAAATGGCACCACATCATATACTGAGCGAGAACAATGAAGGAACCCACAAAAGAAGGAGAATACTTTCGGTCAACCACGTTCACAGAAGAAGGTGTGATCCAGGGATGGGACAGGAAACAAGCTATGGCTAAGCCTTGCAGAAGGAGGAATGGGCAGTGGCAAACTGTCAAAGAAATTCTTTTAATGGTTCGTAGAAATTATTGGAGGAGTTCATTTTTTTTATTGTGATCACTTTATATTGAATACATCTGCAGTATTCACGATCCTCTTCTCTTTTAAATATATATCTAAAATAAAAATATTTTTGAATTATATGCCCCCGGTCAAACCTTAAAATCCAAACTACATCAAGCTATGGTTTCTCTTTAATTACACCTTAACACCCACTAAGGCTCCTTCCCCTGACAACAAAAGACTACAGCATGTGAATACAGAAGTGAGGGGAACTGTCGAGGTTTTCATACCCAGTTCTCTGCAATCTCATGAAAATACAAAGCAAGAGATAGAAAAACTCACGAAGCATCTAATCCATGTGCATTAATCACTACTGGGCTCCAAACGCTTCACAACACACTAAAACAAGCTTTAGGTAATGAAATTCTTTCCATCTCAAAAATATGGAAATACATTATATAGCACTTATTGCTCTTCTTTACTCCATAATAAATTAATTTTGACATACAATAAAGCATATTGTGATGTAACATCAACTAATACTTAAAACTCTTAATTGATAACACAAGCAGATGGTGTTGTATAAGTTTTGAGGACACCTGTATTTGTATTTAAATTTAAACTTTAAAGAAATAACTGTGGGAAATGAATATATTGAAGGGGGAAAAAAGATAAAAGGGATCAAATATATGGAGTAAAACATAAAAAAAATAAAAAAAATAAAATCAAATGTCTACGAAATTAAAAAGAATCTTCATTTTATATCAACAATATTTTTTTTCATATTCAGTAATGTGAAATACAAGCTTTAAAGATACTCTTGAATGGGAACTCAAGTGTCAATTAGTCTGAGAATCCCATGACTTTTGTATAGTCATCACCATTACGAAAGCCAGTTATAATAGCAATATAATTCCCTCTTTTCAGTGCATTCTAGAAGCTGGACAACATCATTTTCATTGAGAAACCATAAGAAAAACTAAATTAAAAAATAATAATCTGCTTTTATGACAACAAGGCATTAAAAAGACTTAGGGAGAAGATTACAATCTTCTTTAATGCCATTGCAATCATCTTCAGGGTACAAAAGAGAAACCAGAATAGAGACTGAAAAGTCACTCTCTGGTCTTCACCCTAGAATTTCTTCCCCCGCTAGTCTGAAATTCAGCAGTAAAGAAATAATAAAAACTACTGAAAAAAATTAAAGAATTTTTCATTATATAGATGCCAGACAGTTAAAAATAAAGATTCACCTAGAAACAACTAAGAGAAGAGAGCAGCAGCAGATTTAAATTATATTCACTGCCCTCAGTGAAATCAACCAGCTTGAATTCATATCATAAAATACTAATTTTAGGTTTGGATTCTGCATTGCTACCTTTTGTTTTCCAAAGAAAGAGATCTTTATTCAACCATTTAGATGCTAAAATATGATGGTGTTCCACTAAATAAAGCCTTTACACTATTCTGCATGTTACTTTTTATTGACCATAAGACTACATAATAATTTTATACCATTTAATATGCATTCAGTCAGGATTTTATTCTTTTTATTTTGTTAGAAAATGCTGAATGTTATCTTTTATTTAATAGGTGAGTGATCTATCACTTTTCCCCCAAAGTTTGCTTTTGGATGAAAATCAACTGTTAAATGAAAATACATCAAGTGACCTACATGTTTTGAAAATAACATTGAAGAAAGTTTCTTTTATATTTTAAGTTAACCAGTGTATTGAACACATATTTTATCCTTAATTGACCTGGGCAGATTCTTCTTTTCCCCAGTGTTCCTAAAAACTGTGGAACTAATACAATATTGAAACCTTGCTTTTACTCACAGATTAACAAATGAACACAAGATTTCTGTCTTTCCAATTCCCAAGAATTCTCTCAGCTTTGAACAACCTAGACACTGAAAGAAACCAAACTGAAAATACAAAAACATCTTGCATGACAGCAAGATGTCAGCTCCTAATTTAGCACTTCAGTCTGAAAAAATTGAGTTTGTGTCGGTTAGCCCACAAATCCCAAATGTTCAGTGGTATGACCCTCTTAAATTTTACTCTTTAAATACTATTTTTAAGTAAATGATCCTAATATAGTGTTAGTTCACCATAATTTTATAGTTAATTAAGATTTAGACACAAATTATTATTATTTTTATTTCATCCCGACTATGAATGTGATCTCATATTTAAGATTTTAAAATTTTAAGTGAGTTTGCATATAAAATTACATAATACTTTGTCCAAAATGTAATCTGATAATAGAAACACGCCCTCCTGGGGACACAGAACTTTTCATAATTTCAGACAATATAAGTAAAATGAAAAAAGATTAAGTAATTTTAGAATTTCACATTCAAACAAAACATTTTTGTTTTCTCGAGCAAAAAAACCACCTATTGGCCCAAAAAATCTGAAACATTCAAAGATTTAGCACAAACAGAATGGCCAGATGGTTTTCAGAGGCAGCTGAAACACCTGATGAAGTTTAATTTTCTCACTTTAAGCCAAAGATTTTGTATACCAAGTCACTATTTGCCAAGATGATTATACCAAAGAGATGAAAAGGTGTACACCAAAGAAGGCAAAGTACCTCCTGAATTTTGTATAAATTGAAAATTTTATGTCTTTCTAAAATGAGTCCACTTCAACATTCAAAGTTCTACTATGTTTGGACTTCAGCTGAAACTTCACTACTGGGCACTGAAAATAACTGTCGAGGAAACGTAACACTGGCATCATCAGAGGAATTCAGATTGGGAATGACTTCCGGCACTCTGAAAGACTTCAGAGCAGGACCAGGACCAGCTTTACAAGAGATTCCACTGGGTCTCAACCAACCATGTTCTACAATGCCCAAGATTCCATGACCTCTCCAGACACCACCAGTTCCCTCTCACTGTGAGCACTTCTTCCTCACAGTCAGCCAGGACTTCCCTTGATGTAGCTCACACCCCCTGCCTCATGTGCTTTCACTGCACAGCTTAAGATCTCACCTCCGTATCTGAGACCCCCTTATACAGAGAAAGGCTTGCAGTAAGAGTCCCCTCCACAAATTAATTTCTTAAGTCTCTCCTCACGTGCCACGTACTCTGCTGACAAACTCCAGTTTGTCATCCTCTCATGCTGGGTTATCACAACTGCATACAGGCCAGAGGCCCTGGCTGGTCCATGAACTTGCTGTTCACCGGGACCCTCAGAGTCTTTTGTTCAGAGTTGCTCCTGGCCAGCCTGTGTGCAGCCTGTAGCGCTGCACGGGCTTGGTTTCATTTGTCCTCGTTTAAGTTTCTGAGGTTCCTTCAGGCCGCTTTTTATCTTGCTGGGCACCTGCCAGACAGCAGCCCTGCCCCTCAGCTTATTAACTGCTCCCTTCCTGCCATCACCCACAAACTCAGCAAGGGTACATCCCACCCCTTCAATAAACATGTCGTACAGTCTCAGTTCCAATACCAAAACTGTGGTGAGCATAAAATTCATTATTCTTCAGCTCAGCAACAAATCCATGCTAGCAGCTGCAGTGGAACATTACATTGTATCACAAAAGCCTTTGTCATCGGGCGTAATTTTGGGGATGCACTTTTTAGATGATAAATTACCTTCCTGCTGAGGATTGTATTTTAATTAGCATTTTCATAAGTTTGGATCACATTCAACGAATGTTTACTTAACATTTTATTCAACATTAGACAACTGTTTTTTCCCTTGGCAAATCCGCAAAATTCCAGTGCAGAACTCAACCAACTGCACAGGTTGAGTTGCACGAAGAGGGTGAGGGGCACAGTGTTCATTACTGCCCCTGAGAGCCCACCTTGCCAAACTGCAGAGGAGTAGCCACGCACAGCAATGGCACGGGACGAGTATTTCAGCAGAGCTCCTCCCCTCCTGCTCTGGGACCCCTCGTCAGACACAGTCACAGTTAAAACTACAGCCCACAGGTAAGGCTTGAGCGTGCAGGACTGGCAGATGAGAAAGAAACAACAAGGTCGTGTAGGAAATGCATCAAATAGAAGTGTCACAGCACGGAAACGTAAAATGGGATACAAGTGAATAAAGCCTAACACTGTTAATGTTACCGTGTCTGAAGCATGTGGAAATACTAAGGCTTCTGCTGTGAATACAAGATACTTAAAAACCCATTCTTATGCTAAGCTGTTTCATGTAACATACTGCAAATTTATCAAAGGAGACAACCGT